CGCGCCAAACATAGGACAAGAAATTTTTGTAGGTGGATGAAAGAGTCTTTAGTATCGGGAAGTCGAAGTTTACAGTAGTGGTGTTTCTGATTCTCGTTCTTACCTACCTAGCACCTACAGAACAATGCATACTAGAGGGTTTTACTTCGTTAATCCACCTCAATTAAAAGAGTCACTAGGATAACTTTTTTTTTTGAAGTGTATAATATTTATATGCTGTAGATACTCATGCATTCGCCTCACTATTGATGACGTTTGAACCCTTGATGTCTCGGGAGGTTGGGCTCTATGGGTACCCCGGGTACCCCTGGGCCAATGACCCTTTGGTTGGATAACTTCTTTTTTATGGCTGTTATCTATAGTTTGTTGGAGGTGGATCAAGATAGAGTCTCAAAACAGTTTAGGGGTTGGTCTTTGGGTTGTACCCAGTTCATGATCTTTCACATACAGCATGGTCCTGGTGGGCCTTGGAGTTTCATTCCAGCATCCTTGCTAATGGAGTATTTAGCTGAATCATCTTCTCGAAAACTTAATTTAAGAATTTAACCGTCCAGTGTATTTCTAAGCTTTTATGGGAGTAGACTGTTTTGAACTAGGGGTAAGCTATTTTGGACCAAGGTCCAAGGGCACGTTAGATGAAGGTCATTAAGCAAAAACTATTAGAAGTCATGCTCCCAATTGAAAACTCATTTAAGGTAATTTATCCAAAGGACCCCCTTGTTAACAATGTTGTTTGAAGATGATAAACAAAAAGAAACTACCCAGAGTTTATCCCACCCTGAGGTGAGGAGGTGGGATGTATGTAGACCTGACCGGACCTCTACCCCAAAGAGTAGAACGATCTTTTCCGTGAAAGCACCGACTGTTATGAAGATAACGACTATTTGAAACCTCCCTATTCTTACCATCTCAAGACAATGACATTTTTGTTGTTGTGATGCAGGACGTTAACAACCCTATTTTGAAAGAAATTCTTTCGGGTGGGCCCCTCTCGGTCATCGGATCCACCCTTGTTTACTGCTTCGTGACACCGCTTCTGGAGGAAACTGTTTACAGAGGGTTCCTATTGACATCTCTTGCTTCAAAAATGGAATGGCAGAAAGCAGTTGTGGTAAGTTCTGTTGTTTTCAGTGCAACTYATTTATCTATTGACAATTTCCTACAACTATGTGTTATTGGGRTTGTCCTTGGATGCTCTTATTGTTGGACTGGCACATTGATCTCTCCTTTTATCATTCACTCACTATAYAATGCCCTCATTTTAGTTATCACTTTTACATCTTAATATTACTTTTCCCCCTTTTTGATWGGAACCATATCTTCCATAGCATTACAATTTTGAGCAAAAGTTGATTGGCTCCCCACAGAACACACCTCTAAGGACATCAATGTGAGGGGTGTTTTTTGGCTCACTCAGCAGCTGAGGCTAGCCCGGGGGGGGGGGGGGGGGGGGGGGGGAGTTGAACCCGGGACCTGTCTTTTATTTGAACAAAGTCTTTCCATTCTTTGCCGACTGAGGTACACGCTAGAGGGCATAAACATTAATGGTTAGGGTTTTTGTTCATTATAAGGGGCATAATTGGAAAGAAAGTAAAAAAAGTCCCCAAAAGTTTACTGAAACGTTCTGGCTTTTCAAAAAGCTAGCTTACCAAAATATATTTTTTCCAATAAAGTCAAAAAATAAGTTAGTTTATCATTACTAACCGTGGCTTAGATCATGAATCTATGGATTGGTGGTTGGCGTAAGAGGTGACTGTTTTATTTGATTTATT